GGAGCCTTTATGCGACGGGCATACCATTTCCGGTAATTATCAAAAAGACAGGAGCGATAAATTTCGGATCAATTACCAGTAAAGAAGTTGCTAAAATATTCAATAAGAATTAAAAATGAGAACAGAAATTTAGACTGATATACTATTTTTTTAATTATTATTGAATTTGTTTATTTTGTACTTAATAGAAGGAAAGTACGTTAGGAAGTCTGGTACGTTTTATTTTTATTGAAGAATATTCAAATATTTGTGAAATTTAATTTTTTTGTGATTTTATTAACTGCTGATTCATAATTATTCGAACATGATTTACAGAAACCACAAAAAATAAATGATTTTCAAATTATTTGAGATTGGATTTTAATGAATATCTCTCATCCATGCACGTCATTTTGTTTTTTATACTAGCTGCAAACTTTTAAATTATGCGTACCATTTGCTCCTCTCATTACATTAATGCATGATAATATCAGACTCCACATTAAAAGGGCAGTGAGCGAATATCTGGAATAGGTTAGCATTTCAAGTTCGGAATTTTTAGGATGAACATAAAAGAACCGTTCGTCGTCGCGCTATGCAACCATAAACTTTACGGAAGTTACAGATAACACTGGCAGAAGAATATTGCTTTATTTCTCAAGAAAGTATACCAACTTATATTCATTTATTCAGTGACCTGAAAACTGTAACGTTGCTTGCTGCGGGAGGTAGGATGTAGAATGTGGAATGAGTAAGAGGGAGGCGAGGGTTAATCATCGCGAACTTAAAAATCTCTTGTGTCCCTCTTTCTTGAGTTATAGCTCATCATACAGTTCGTAACTCATCATACATGGGGATCTGCCTGTTGTAGAGGGACAGGGTATTTCCTATCCTCCTCTGACAACAGGTGTTCATCTTCCGAGGAGTGAGCATCTACCTACTACGAGAATATATACCCTACCACGGTTGGGGTTTAGCCCTCTGTGCTCTTCACATTTGAGGAGCTTATCTCCGGATGAGTTACCCATGTGGCTGGAGGATCTGTCTCCATTTTCTCCATCTCTTTAACCTAGTCTTTCTTTAAACCTGATAACAGTGTTGTCCCGAATCTATAATAGATGATATAGCTCTCTTTCTCTGTTGCCTTCCTGGATCAGTTACACCGCAAATGTTAATCGGTCCACTTCTACATAGCCCCGCATATAAAAGTAAGGGAGACAAGAATACAATAGGTTGTCCCCTGGTGTTCCAAGGTTGAGACCAGTAGAGCTTAGTCTTCTATCTAGCCACACATTATTTTGGCCTGGTCCCGCCATCATAGGATTTAGGTTTTTGATGAGGTTGTTTCCCCCTGAACCGGGCTGTTAAGCTAAGACCTCCCCACACTTCCCCATTACTTGACGTCGTTTGGAAAAGTGAAATCAATACATTTCAACATTTTCAATAAAGAGTACAAAATGCATTCGGAAGTATAAGAAGAACATGTTCAAAGAGCTATGAATAAGATTGAAGAAAAAATAAATTTGTGCATTAGGGAGGGTATCTAGTAACACTTCACAATAAAAAAATAATATCTTTAAATTGCTGACCTGGATATTATTTATTTGACTCTTTGAATTGGTTCGATTTTCCGTATTAATGTCAATTAGCACTGATCAATATTATTGCAATGAATATAATTATATTAAATAATTTTAAAAACGAAAAACTTGAAATTATTTTAAATAATGACAGTCAAAAATAATAACTAAATAGTTTTGTTATTGTTAAGGTACCCAAAACAAAAAAAGTATAATATCATTGTACTCAGGAGACCGAGTTGTTTCAAAACATAAAATAAAAATCTCTCAAATTGTCACCTAATAAAAATATAAACATACTATCAGATAACCCTAATAAAGTGGCTATGAGAATGTGTAACTAGTTTTTTAATTTTCTACAAAGTAACGACAGGAAAAATTAAAATTTATTTTCAAAAACTAAGAAATCCGTTTGATAGATGATGAATCTCTAGGGCGTTAAACTCAATGATTGCACAAAAATTAAACAGTAAAAGGGGTTTATTTGACGTAAATCGAGAACAAAATACAAAACAGCTGTTTATGCCAGGCGCACGCGGAACAAGTGAATAGCCGGCCACACACATAGCGTCTTGGAGAAGGTTTTAGCATGGCCCATGCAAAGCATGCGAGCCAAGTCTGTGGCGAGCCAAGAACGCTGTTGGCCATTAACGAAATTATTAAATGGCAGTACTTTGATGAAGGTCTTTGACGTACATACCAAGAGTGTGTGTTTATGGAGATAAATATTGACATACTTTGTCAAAATTAGTGCAAGCCTGGATTTCTAACGTGTTTGATATTTTTGGTGTGGCTCAACGGTGGGGAAAATGAAAAAAATATTATAGCAATGACTGTAACATATGTTGGAATCATAGACAGAGAAATAAATAGAAGGAAATGGGAAATTTTTTCAATTCAATTCTTTTCTGAAGCAGCTTGGTATAGACTGAATTTTTTGACAAACAAAATTCTTATCAGGGTTTTCTATAACTTGCTTACATAACTCAATTAATTCACGGTGACCTTTGTTTTTCAAATTTTTATTGGTATAATCCTTGCTTTTTTTATCCTCCAGAGCGCTGGATGTTTTCTATATATTTCTATAAACTGGGTTAAAATCTCCTTACTCCAAAATCTTGTATCTGCCATAATTGCTAAATTTTTTTTGCAAAAGAACAACTAACAACGCTCCACACACGTGAAATAATTTAACAGTAGTAGACTCACAAAACACATACACAAGGAGAAGTGCTAGCGCCTTGCTAAATATTGGAAAGTGAAATTTGACACTGTTGACAAGTCTACTGCTACTAGCGCCCCCAATATCGCTTGTAGGAACTAGATGGTCACGCATGACAGGAAGTTTAAAAAAATAAAAAAAAATAATTCTTCATTTATATTTAATTATGACACAGATAAAAACACAAAAAAATACACCATTTTTTAAAAATGTTTAATATCGATATCAAATGTACAACAGAAATTAATTTCACCATAATAAATTAATAAAATTAAAAGAATAATGTTACAAGTAGATCAAGAGACAAAATTAATTATAACAAAACTGAAAAAAATGGCGTCATAGATGGCTTAGAAATGAAGATATATATATCATAATTTTGAAAGTAAAATTTTATAGGAAATGTCATCGATCATCATTTTTAAGCCAACTGGACGATTATTTCAAACATACAAGCTGAGTTCGTTCATAGTGCTCTGAGAAATCTAGATAAACAAAGAATAATAAATTAAAAGTATTCCAGGGGAAAAGAGAGGAAAAACCTGTATCGTCTCTGATATCTGTCAGGGTATTGTTGAAAGTGTCATCTTTTTGCTCGAAGTTTTCAGGTCGATTAAAAAGATGACATTTACAACAATACTTTGCCGTAACTTTCACAAATATCAGAGAGAGAGTACAGGTATTGCCTCTCTTTTCCTCTGGGATGCTTTATATCGGTTCTTCTTTGTTTACCTATATTTCTAAGAGCATAATGCCAAACACGACTACAGTATATAATAATTTCAATATCCTAAGTGGAAAGAAAAAAGATCACCTTTCTGTTTTGTACTATGGTCCCTTTCTTCCGATGGTTCATCTCGTTGATATTTAGGAAGGTATCCATAAAATATATATTTTATTATCGGTCCTGGGATGAAAAAATATAAAATTCAATTTGATTTGATGGTCCTTTTCTGTCACCTAAATCAGGATAATGACAATGAGCATGTTAAGATGAAAAAAAACGTATTTATCAACACTTACCTACACGTTAGTCCAAGGAGTTTTATCAAAAACCTATATTTGCCTAAATAATTTATGTATTAAATTTACCAATGAAATTTACAAAGCAAACTGCAGCGTGTAAACAAAAGAAAATAAAGTGGCGACAAGTCAACGTCAACGACCCGACAAGGAAAAAAGTGGTGTTCGAATAACAAATTATGGGTCACCAAAAATTGTTTTTAGGCCCCCTTCAACGCACACTTTAGAAAGAAAAAGAGATGAACTGTAATACTGAAAGAACGTCAAGATTTTATCTGTCACTCTTGTCAATAATTTATCGGTAAGGAAGATTCCTAGAAAATCGCTTGTAGTCAAGTTTTCAACCATATCCAGTTCTCCCATAAGAAGTGTCATCCACCTGAGTAGACCTGTTATCCTGGACGTCGCGCAAGGCGTGCGTATTTAGAGCGTGGGTATTTTTCCCCCTTAACATACGAGTTAGATCCGCGCGCCCGATATGTAGGAGCCAAGAGCGTTCAAAAGTACCTGTGTGTGTGGCCTGCTAATGATCGGCGGCTAACAGGCTTCAGCGAGCGTTGTGCGTCGATGGTGGCGCTCTCCCACCGATCGTCGTTGGTCACTTGCCGAACTACGGCCCAGACTCGCGATCCCCATTATGCGAGCGGCCAGGAGCGCGAGTGTTGACTGGTGATACTAACACCGTTTTTAAAAAAAAACAAGCGATAAGTTTGCTTCAATTTAACCATGTTTGTATCTATTACGGTTACCGAAATACCAATGCTCGTAGCTCGAATTTGTAGCACCCTGTATAATACCGCCTAAACGGAGAGCGTCAATTATTGTAATAATAAAAAAGAATTTCAATATTCCGAACTACAAACTGTTAAAAAATCGTGAAAATCAGATGAAGAATAAGAAATTTATAAAACTTATATTAATTTGACAAAATATTTTTTCAGGTTGTGTATTATCTTAATTTTTTATAAGATAGTGATTATTTCTGATTATGGGGGAAGATAAATTTGTCATAGTAGCGAAATCCTTTAGAAAAATAAACTACAATAACCGCATAGCAAAGATCGCTCCTTTCACGTTGCATTAAAAATATAAATTGACAAAAATCTCGAAAGCGAAATTGAATCTCGGTTCGGGATTCCGTAAGAGCACTTTTATATGGTTTAATAAAAATGGTCGATGTCTGATTCCAGCCGGCACTCCAGAAATCAGAGAATGCAAAAAGGAAATAAGCTACATGGAGGAGGGCAAGCTGGGCAGGGTGGATATCGACCCGGACATCATCCAGTTCGACAAACAGCACGGTCTTCCGGTGGATTGTATGTGGGTCATCACGGTCAGAGTCAACTGGAGGGTAAGTACACTTTTTATTTCATTTCGAATTCCATTCTGAAAATTATTTGCCAAGCACTATCATTTTACGAAACCATCCAATGCGTTTTAATAGAAGTTTAATGATACTTAGTGATGAGCAAATGCAAAATCAGGAGCAAGATTCGCTTGGTTTTGGTTTTGCAGGGTCCACTGTTGCAAGTTATACACTTTTTTAACGGATTTTTACTACAGGTATTTTCAACATAGAAAATAGTAATCGTATATTTAGCTTAAAAACGCATAATGTTCGAGCCATTTGGCTGTTCGTCTAAAAATTCATGAAAAAAATATAGCCGTTTAATCCGAAAAATACTTTATAGTTCCATATGCTTCCACAAAGTACCGGGAACTATAACATATTAGGCCAACCCCACCCCTTTGGATCTTTAAAATATTCGGATTGATAAAGTGACAATTGTAGCTATCCAAAGGCGACTTTATAGAAACAATAACTTTTTTGGAACTACATGGTCAACAATTCTTTGGAACCATAAAGTGATTTTTTCCAAGAAAGTTCCCTGCGCCACCAAATTGTCACTTAATTGGAGCATTATGCTACACCGATCGCGGCGGCGGCGCCAGCTCCATTGGTACCATTATAACGTTCCGCCTTGTCCTTTGAAGTTATTTTTTACTTATAGTGCATTTTCTATTATTAGTGTTTCAATATTATTCAGAGCTACATAAGGTATAGAGTATTTTAACGCCCACTTTTTAGCTCTTGTTTTATATTGTTGTTGGTTCTCAAATTAGTTCTCCTGTGAAATTCAATTTCAGATGAACTAACACTACACTCATCTACAGAAACAGCTTCAAAAATATCTTAGTCACTACCTGATTTATAATGTTCATCAGTAGGATTATAGAAAGAGGTAGTTTTTGTTTCTGATGTTGATGCATCAGCTGGCAGTGATTGCTTTTATTTAATTCTCCGGTAGAAAGTATTAGAATATCTAAATTTCTTTTTAGTCGCCTTAGGGATTTTACAAAATTTTAATAAAGCTTAAAAGCAAGTAAAAGCAAACACTAAAACAGAGCAGCACACGATGAAATCTGAGGCAATTACATTTATTAGGGTATATTAAGTTACGGTCACTATAAAGTAGCCGTTTTTGACCCCCGTGACTTCTTAGTGGCAATGGATGAGCGACGGTTACTTTATAGTGACCTAGGAAGGTAGTAGTAACCATTTTGCTACTTTCAATGCTACTATAAATTAGAAGTAACTAGGTGTCGTGGCCGCGACTACCCCGTAACTTAAATTGTTACTATAAAGTAACAAAAACTTAACGGAGGCATTATGGTAGCACTTGTTAGTAACCCCTACTTTGAAAAGTTACTATAAAGTTTTTGGTCTTTTATGGTGTCGTATTCGAAGATTCGGGTAGTTCCAGCCACTTCTTTAAATTACATGTTTGCGACTTGCAATCGGGGTGTTTTTTTCCACTTTTATGGTAGGTAGGCACTAACCGGTCACTCTCGAAATATACTTCAAAGTGACTATTCCTTATAGAGTAACATTTTAAGTGGCAGAGTGGGCCTAGGAACTATACTTTAGGGGCAGTGGCATTTTAAAAAGGACTAGGAACTATATTTGCTAGTTGGATTGCTATATTCTACATAATTTCTTCCTGGAGGTACAGTTAACGTAAGTGTAATATTTACGTATCTACACTACCCAATCCATTTCGCCAATATAGTATCAGTCTTGCCTCGGAGATTTTCAAAAAGTCTTAAAAGCGCATATGAAAATTTGATTTCTGAATCTTCTCAACCTACAATAATTAAGTACATTAACGATATCGACATACATAACATGAGTCCACATATATTATCACCTATTTATTCCACATTATCCGTTTCAGACAAGTAATTTGTATTAAATAAAAAAAGTGATTTTAATTCACTATTTATAATAATTCATTTATCGCTTACTTTTTTAATTTAATAGGTCTTTCAATTTTTTTTTAATTTTGTTCAATATCATATAATTTATTATGAAATTTAAATTACAAAAAATCTAGGCGTTATTAAATATAAAGTTCATTATAAGACTTTTGAATTGAAGAATTTTATGAAGGTATATCTTTATTTCCGACACAAAAATTAATTCAGAAAGTTAATAATTCAGTATTATTTTATAAATGTATTTTATTTATTTTGTTTCTTTAATATATTATGTACAGGGGGGTCGAAATTGGTCTGTTTTAACAGAGAAAACCTATTTCCTGACTAGATACAGCAAAACCGACATAAATGTCATGGGCTCGATTTTTGAGATACGTTTAATGACGTAAACCGCCTGTTGATATTTTCACTGCCAACAGCAATACGGGGTCTTTTTGACTTTTTTACAATTTTGAAATTTGCCTATAACTTTTTTATTTCGCGGAATAATAAAATTCTGTAAAAACGTTCTTAAGGCACTTTTTTAAGCACAATCCAATGGCGTAGTCAGTTTTTTTCTATGCTTGGTCTTTTTGTCATACATAATAAAAAATTTTAATTTTTAAATGGAAATCATAGTTGGCTATGAACTTAAAAAAATTCTGGCATTTAACCCTTTCCAACGATATAAAGTTATGGGCATCTATTTCTAAGAATGAGAGAAATATTAGGTTTTTTATCTTTATATCGAAGAGGGCTTTGATTTTGTGTTGACCTATTTGCCTAATTATTTTTTATCTCAATTTAATATGCTATATTATTATTGATCTTTATAATTAAAGACTTTTGAAAAAGTAAATTAACATTCTGTTATTAGTAGTAATGGTAATTATTAGTATTAGTAATTACAACTGAAATATCGATACAATAAACAAAGAACAAAACTAAAAATACGTATTTTATGAGTGACGAATATAGTTTTCTAAAAAAAACAAAGATGTTCAAAAACTGAGCACCTCCTTGTTGAATACACAATAAACATCTTTTGCGAGTTACAACTATTTATTAGGCGAACTGGTGTAATAAGTCCAAAAGCTTGCCTAGTAGCCTTCTGCAATTATTCTTCTCTCGTCCCAATGGTTCTGCCTTATATGTAAGGTCTTTTAATTTTCTCCATAAAAAAGTCGAAAGGAGTTAAATCGCAGAACCTAGGATAAGATATGGGCACCTTGTTCCAACCCAATTCAGTTGTAACCCTGTCGTTTTAATTGTAATCAGTAATACTATTATAGAATGTTGATTTACCTTTTCAAAAGTTTTTAATTATGCAGATAAATAATAATATAGAATATTAAGTTGTGATAAAAAATAATTAGGCAATAGGTCAACACAAAATCAAGGCCCGCTTCGATACAAAGTTAAAAACCCTAATATTTCTTTCATTCTTAGAAATAAATACACATAACTTTATATGCATGTTGGAAAGGGTTAAACGCCAGCATTTGTTTTTAAGTTTATTGCCAACTATGATTTCCATTTAAAAAATTATATTTTATATTATTTCCGACAAAAACAGCAAGTATAGAAAAAAAACTGACTACGCCACTGGATTGTGCTTAAAAATGTGCATTAAGAACATTTTTACAGAATTTTATTATTCCGCGAAATACAAAAGTTATGGGCAATTTTCCAAATGGTAAAAAATTCAAAAAGACCCCGTATCTCAGTTGCCAGTGAAAATATCAACAGACCATGACATCTATGTCGGTTTTGCTCTATCTAGTCAGGAAATAGGTTTACTCTGTTAAAACAGACCAATTTCGAGAGTGGTCGAAATTGGTCTGTACATTATGTCGTTTTTGATTTTTTTAATTACACAAAAATATTAAGCAAAATAAATGAATAGAAAGCATTATTTATGTTAACAAATAACTTGGAGTGATTTATGTGAACGCATCATGTCTAAAATTTATAAAATCACAGTATATACTAAAAGTTAAATTTAATACTTAAGAAATCATGATATCGTACTTCTTAAACGCTATTTGAACGAAAAACGTGCAATGAAAAGAAATGTGTTTGTACGGATTTGGAATATACCATTTGTATTTGTATTTGTATTGTCTAAGAGTGGGTCCCTCCACTGCGGCCGCGGGGGCCTATTGTGGCTCAGTTTCTCAAGCTCTTTAATAGAAAAAGAGCATTAACTGTTTTATTTTTTCAGATAAAAAAAAAATATTTGGTATGTTAGTATTTGACATAAATTATGATTGATTGACATATTCAATTATATTCGGTCACTTCCAGGTTTCGCCGGAAACGACTACAACTTTTGATTTTTAAATGGCACCTTCCTTATTTTTTTACTTTATTCGATAGTAAATGACACTCTGAATAGAATGACATATTATATACAAACTTTTGACATTCTCGCTAAAAAAAATAGTATTTTATATTTCAATCTAGAGTGCCGTTGGCTGTGTTAAACACAATAATTTTTAATCAAGGAGCCTTGGAAAAATAGATAAGATCGTCTGTTTTTCGTGTCTGGTTTTGACCAGTTAAAAGATGCCCATATCCTATTTTTAATCATATCCCAATTTTAATTTTCTTGTAGATAAAATGCTAGTCGTGGTTTTGGTGTTGGTCTTGCTTTTGTCAAGATCAAGATCAATTAAATTAAATTAAATTATTCTGGGTGCCGGGCCACAGCGGCATCCAAGGCAACGAAAAAGCCGATGAGCTAGCTAGGCAGGGAGCATCGATATCCTATCTTGATCCAGAGCCAGTACTGGGAATATCCAAATACACAGCCCGTAGTGCACTAAAACTCTGGATCAGGGAAAGGCACAATGTCCATTGTGCCGTTTGGAGAAACAGACAGAGGCACAGGCACAGCAAGGCTTTTATCCAAGGACAAAACCGCAAAAGAACTGCTAATGCTTAGCAGGTATAAAGTGCGGATTACAACAGGCCTCTTGGCAGGACACATGGCTGTCAAGTGTTACCTGAACAAGCTCAATCTGTATCAAGGAAGTCTTTGCTGCAGACTCTGCGATAAAGATCCTGAAACAGCGGAGCACATAAGCAGGG